CCTGCAGCCTTCTGGGCAAAAGCCTCTTTTATTTCTCCATTAGCATTAAAAGATTGAGCCCTTAGAGACCAGCTCTCTTAACTCTCACTGAGACTGGGCAAAAGTAGTTTTTTATCTAGGTCCCCATATACTAAACAGGCCATATGCCCTGTGATTGTCATATTTTTGCCCTGAGCCTGTAATGAGCCTAGATTTTTTTATTCCAGTACCTGTTTTCCTCATGGACCCACCCTGGGGACACTCAATCTCTCTGAAAGGACCCAGTGGGAAATTTCCAGCATAAATGAAAACATTAGAAGAGGAAAAAGCCAGTACTAGAACCCGGATCTCATGACGGAGAGGTTAGAAGGCAATTTATGCCTGATCTCAGCTCTAACCAATAAGTCATATTAACTCCACTTCTAACGTTACCTTCGAGAGCTTGGGCAAGTTACTTACCTCCCTAGGCCTCAGTTTTCCTATTTGTAAAATGGGAAATTAGATTAGATGGCCCCTGAAGTCTCAGCTATAGGATCTATGAGCCTATGGTCATAACTTTGACATTCTCTCTCTGAGCCTTGGTTTCTTTATCTGTAAAACAAAGGCTACAGATTATACGATTTTTAAAGTCTCTTTCAGCTCAAACCCTGATTCTGCCAATGAAATCTATCTACTTCCCAATTTTTCCTAAGATGATCCCACTTCTTAAGGAAACCATCCTGAAGGTCTTTATAGGTGGAATGTTGGAGCTGGAAGGAATCTGAGAACACAGATTATAGAATATTTAGAGCTTGGGGGAACTTTGGAAAGCACCTAATCCAAACCCTTCATGTGTGCAGAAAGGTTAAGTGATTAGCCAGTTAGCTTTGTGGGAAGGAGAGAAGATGGAGGAACTTATCCCTTATCACATGGGGGTCATGAAGCCCTGAGCAGGGAAAGAGAGAAGTGACCTGGTGAGTCACTGGAAATTAAGCCTCCTGACACCTTGCCAAGGGCTTTGGAACTATCTTCTCCCATCTGGAGATAACAGCACTTAAAAGGGTTAACTTGTGAAGTTCAGCTCTTTCCACTTCCTTTTCCTGTTTCTACGGGCTTAGGATTTCAAACAAGAAGGGAGAAACACAGCATGTTTTCTCTGAGTTTCTGGGCTTCAGCTCTGCTGACTGTACTCAACTGCTGGGCCCCGGCTGGTGAGTCCTGGGGGGGCTAAGCCGTGGCAGAGGCCAGGATAGGCTCAGAAGGAGAAAAGAAAAGGAAAGGAAGACGTGAGGAGGAGCTGGGGCGGGGCCTGACTTTTCTCTTGGGCTGGGTCTGGCCAATTTACGTTTAGTCCTGGAAAGCACTGAGTAAGGAAATTAATTTAGGTAGAATTGTCATTGTTATTATATTAGCTCAACCTACCCATGAGCAATTGATATTTTTCCAATTGTTTAGATCTGACTTTATTTGTATGTTTTGTAATTATGTTCATATAGTCCCTGGGTTTCTCTTGGCAGATAGAAAATATTTTATATTGTCTACAGTTATTATTTTTGGAGGAATATTTCTATTTAGTATTTTATTTTCCCCCAGTTACATGTAAAAACAATTTTTAACATTCATTTTTAAAACTTTGAGTCCCAAATTCTTCTCCTTCCTTCCCCCACTTCCCCTCATTGAGAAGGCAAGCAATTCGATACGTTATACATGTGTAGTCATGCAAAAACATTTCCATATTAGTCATGTTATGAAAGAAAAGAGACCAAAAACAAACCCTCAAGAAAAATAAAGAAAGTAAAAAAAGTATGCTTCAATCTGTATTCAGACACCATCAGTTCTTTCTCTGGGGATGGATAGCATTTTTCTTCATTAATCCTTCAGAGTTGTCTTGGATCATTCTATTGCTGAGAATAGTTAAATCATTCACAGCTGATCATCTTACAATATTGCTGTTAGTTTGTACACAGTACATTTCACATTGCATCAGCTTTTTGTAAGTTTTTTCAGGTTTTTCTGAGAGCATCCTGCTCATCATTTTTTAAGGCACAATAGTATTCCATCATAATCACACAGCACAATTTGTTCAGCCATTCCCCAGTTGATGGGGAATCCCCTCAATTTCTAATTCTTTGCCACCAGAAAAGAGCTGCTATAAATATTTTTAATTAATTTATTTATTTTTAGTTTTCAACATTCACTTCCAAAAGATTTTGTTTTAAATTTTTTCCCCTTCCCTCTCCTTCCCCCTCCTCAATTTGGTGTGCAGTCTGATATACATTCATATTAAACATATTTTCACATTAGTCATGTTGTAAAGTAGAATTAGAACCAATGGAAGGAACCACAAGAAAGAAGAAACAAAACAACAACAACAAAAAAAGAGAGTAAATAGTATGCTTCCATCTGCATTCAGACTCCAAAGTTCTTTGTCTGGATGTGGACAGTATTTTCCATCATTAGTCTTTTGGAGTTGTCTTAGATCCTTGCATTGCTGAGAAGAGCTAAGTCTATGAAAATTAGTCATTGTACAATGTGGCTGTTACTGTGTACAATGTTCTTCTGGTTCTGCTCACTTCACTCAGCATCAGTTCATATAAGTCTTTCCAGGTTTTTTTGAAGTCTGTCTACTCATCATTTCTTATAGCACAATAGTATTCATTACATTCATATACCACAACTTGTTCATCCACATTCCCCAATTGATGGGCATCCCCTTAATTTTCAATTCTTTGCCACCACAAAAAGAGCTGCTACAAATATTTTTGTACATATAAGTCCTTTCCCTTTTTTTTTTTAATCTCTTTTGGGATACAGACCTTGTAGTGGTATTGCTAGGTAAAAGGGTATGTATGCTTGTTTGTTTGTTTTTTTAATAGTCCTTTGGGAAGGGTTGAATCAACCACCAACAGTGCATTCATGTCTCATTTTTCCCACATCCCCTCCAACATTTGTCTTTTTCTTTTTCTGTCCTATTAGCCAATCTAATATGTATAAGGTAGCACCTCAGAATTATTTTAAATTGCATTTTTCCAATCAATGGTGAGTTAGAGTATTTTTTCATATGGCTATAGATCACTTTAATTACTTCCTCTGAAAACTGTTCACATCTTTTGATCATTTATCAGTTGAGGAATGGCTCTTATTTTTATAAATTTGACTCAGTTCTCTACATGTTTGAGAAATGAGGCCTTTACCAGAGAAACTTTTTTCCTTTTTTTTTCACAGTAACTATTGCTAACTGTATTTCCCTCCATCCTATCCCCTCAGCCAATTTATTCTATTCTATTGTCTCTCCTCAAGTGTTTTGCTTCTGACTACCCCCCCCCCCAATCTGTCCTCCCTTCTATCCCCCCACTTCCTTCTCTTATCCCCTTCCCTTCCTACTTTCCTGTAGGGTAACATAGATTTCTATACCCAATTCAGTATATATGTTATTCTCTCTTTGAGCCAGTTCTGATAACAGTAAGGTTCACTCACTTCCCCTCACTTCTCTCATCTTCCCTTCCACTGTAAAAGCTTTTTCTTGCCTCTTTTATGTAAGGTAATTTATCCTATTCTATCTTTCCCTTTCTCCCAGTACATTCCTCTCTCATGCCTTAATTTTCTTTTTTTAGATATCATCCCTTCATATTTAATTCATACTTATGCCCTCTGTTTATATATTCTCCTTCTAACTGCCCTAATAATGAGAAAGTTATTAGTTACAAGTATCATCGTCCCATGGAGGAATGTAAACAGTTTAACCTTATTAAGTCCTTTATGATTTCCCTTTCCTCTTTACCTTTTTATGCTTCTCTTGAGTCTTGTATTTGAAAGTCAAATTTTCTATTTAGCTCTGGCCCTTTCATCAAGAATGCTTGAAAGTCCTCTATTTCCTTGAATATCTATTTTTCCCCCTGAAGGATTATACTCAGTTTTGCTGGGTAGGTGATTCTTGGTTGCAGTCCTAACTCCTTTGCCCTCTGGAATATCATATACCAAGCCTTCCTCCTTTAATGTAGAAGCTGCTAAATCTTGTGTTATCCTGAGTGTGGCTCCACAATACTTGAATTGTTTCTTTTTGGCTGCTTGCAATATTTTCTCCTTGACCTGGGAGCTCTGGAATTTGGCTATAATATTCCTGGGAATTTTCATTTTGGAATCTCTTTCAGGAGGCAATTGGTGGATTCTTTCATTTCTATTTGACCTCTGTTTCTAGAATTTCAGGGCAGTTTTCCTTGATAATTTCTTGAAAGATGATGTCTTTTTTGGATCATGGCTTTCAGGAAGTCCAAGAATTTTAAAATTATCTTTCTTGGATCTATTTTCTAGGTCAGTTGTTTTTCCAATGATATATTTCACATTGTCTTCTATTTTTTCATTCTTTTGGTTTTGTTTTATTGTTTGTTGATTTCTCATAAAATCATTAGCTTCCATTTGCTCAATTCTAATTTTTTAGCAATTATTTTCTTCAGTGAGTTTTTGTATCCCCTTTGCCATTTGGACAATTCTACTTTTTAAGGAGTTTTTTTTTCTTCAGTGGGTTTTTGTACCTCTAAAATTTTCCATTTGGCCAATTCTGCTTTTCAAGGTGTTATTTTCTTCAGTATTTTTTTAGGTCTCCTTTAGCAAGCTGATGACTTGTTTTTCATGATTTTCTTGTATCATTCTCATTTCTCTTCCCAGTTTTTCCCCTATTTCTCTTACTTCCTTCTCAAAATCCTTTTTGAGCTCTTCCATGGCCTAGGACCAATTCAGATTTTTCTTGGAGGCTTTGGTTGTAGGAGCTTTGACTTTGTTATCTTCTTCTGAGTGTATGTTTTGATCTTCCTTGTCACCATAGTAACTTTCTATGGTTAGAATTTTTTTCTGTTCTTTGCTCATTTTCCCAGCCTATTTCTTGACTTTTAACTCCTTGTTAAAGTAGGGCTCTGCTTCCAGGGTGGAGGGCGCACTGCCCCGAGCTTCAGGGGTTTTATGCAGCTGTTTTCAGAGATATCTCTAGGGACCTGTAAGTTTTCAGTTCTTCCAAGGTGGTATGATCTAAGGAGAGGTGTGTTTACTATGCTCCTGACCTGTGCTCTGGTCTGTGAGTGACCACAGGCACTCTTTTCCATGCTGGAACCGTGAGGAGGGTTCCCACTCCATTGCAGCCACAAGTTCTGATGTGCTAGTGCTCCTCCTTGCCCTGGCACTGCCACCCAGGACTGTGGCCCAGATCTGAGCATGGACAGAGCAACAGAGTCCTGCCTCAGTGCCAGCAGAGACCCCTGTAATCTCCTTTTGAGTTATTTGACCTCCTGTCTGTGGAGTGAGAGCTCAGGAAGCAGCTACTGCCACTGCTGATTCAGCGGCTCCCAAGATCTGCTCCTGGATTGCTGGGGTTGGGCCAGCGCTGGTGTGGCCTGTGCCGAACTGTGTTCCACTCTCACCCAGGTATGACAGACCTTTCCTGCTGACCTTCTAAGTTGTCTTTGGCTGGAAAATTATTTCATCCTGCACTTTTGTGGGTTCTGCTGCTCCAGGAATTGTTTTATAGCCTTATTTAAAGGTGTTCAGAGAGGTTTTGGGGAGAGCTCAGGCAAGTCACTGCCTTTTCTCTGTCATCTTCTGTCTACAGTTATTTTTAATGGAATTAATTTCTCTTTCTATTTCTTTTTTCTGGGTTTTGTTGGTAATATACAGAAATGCTAATGATTTATGTGAGTTTGTTTTATATCCTGCCACCTTGCTGAAGTTGTTAATTATTTCAAGTAGGTTTTTGGTTGACTTTCTAGGATTCTCTAACTATACCATCATATCATCTGCAAAGAGTGATAATTTTGTTTCCTCATTGCCTATTCTAATTCCTTCAATTTCTTTTTTTTTTCTCTTATACTATAGCTAACATTTCTGGTAAAATATTGTATAATAGTGGTGATAATAAGCATCCTTGTTTCACCCCTGATCTTATTAAGAAAACTTCTAGTTTATTCCCATTGCATATATTACTTGCTGATGGTTTTAGATAGATATTACTTATCATTTTAAGGAAAATACCATTTATTCCTATGATCTCTAATACTTTTAATAGGAATGGGTACTGTATTTTGTCAAAAGCTTTTTCTGCATCTATTGAGATAATCATTTGATTTGTGTTAGTTTCATTGTTGATATGGTCAATTATGCTGATAGCTTTCCTGATATTGAATTAGCTCTGCATTCCTGGTATAAATCCCACTGGTTATAGTGTATTATCCTCATTATGAACTTCTATAATCTCTTTGCTAATATTTTATTTAAAATTTTGCATCAATATTTATTAAGGAAATTGGTCTATAAGTTTTCTTTCTCTGTTTTTGCTCTTTCTGGTTTAAGTATCAGCACTATATTTGTGTCATAAAAGGAATTTGGTAGAACTCCTTCATTGTCTAGTCTTCCAAATAGTTTAGATAGTATTAGAATTAATTGTTCTTTAAATGTTTGGTAGAATTCACTTGTGAATCCATCTATCTGGTCATGGTGATTTTTTCTTAGTTCATCGATGGCTTGTTTGATTTCTTTTTCTAAGATGAGGTTTTGTTTAAACATTCTATTTCCTCTTCTGTTAATCTGAAAAATTTATATTTTTGTAAATATTCATCCATTTTATTTAGATTGTTAAATTTATTGGTATGTAATTGAACAAAATAGCTCCTAATAATTTCTTAAATTTCATCTTCATTAATGGTGAGAGTTTTAAGTCTTCAAAGTTGTTTTTCTTCACAATGTTGTAGTATATAAATTGTTCTCCTGGTTCTGATCACTTGCATCAATTCATGCAAGTCTTCTCAGGGTTCTCTGAATCTGTCCCTTTGGCCATTTCTTATATACAATAATAATCCATTACATTCACATACCAAGATTTATTAAGCCATTCTTCATCTGATGGGCACTCACTTTTTTCCTAGTTCTTTACTACAACAAAAACTGCTATCTTTTCACTCTGTCTTTGATCTCTTTGGGGATATGTGCCTAGCAGTCCTGTCTCTGGGTCAAAAGGCATGTTTAGTTTAGTAACTTTTGGGGAATAATTCCAAATTGTTTCCCAGAATGATCAAACTATTTCACAACTCCACCAACAGTGAATTAGTGTGCTTGTCCTCCCATAGCCCATCTACAAATTGTCATTGCTAACCTGATGAGTGTGAGTTAGAATCTCAGTGATGTTTTGATGTGCATTTCTTTTATTATTAGTGATTGGTAATTTTGTATATGGTTGTTGATAGCTTAGATTTCTTCCCTAGAGAACTTCCTATTCCTATCTTCTGATCATTTACCTACTGGGGAATGACTATTGTCCTTATATATTTGTGCCACTTCCCTATACATCTTGAATATCAAACCATTATCAGAAAAATTTTCTGCAAAGTCCTGTTACCACCCTCACAATTATTCCTAAATTAATTTACTTATTCAGTTCTGTTTATGCAGAAAAAAATAACAAAAGTCATTTGGAAGAACATAAGGTCAAGAAATAGCAATTTTTTAAAAAGGTGGCCTAGCAGTACCATATATCAAATTATATTACAAAGTGATAATCATCAAAATAATCCGGTACTAAGAAATAGAGTGGTGGATCACTGGAATAGATTAGATACCCAATATAAAGTAGTAAATGACCATAGTAATCCAGTGTTTGATAAACCTAAAGATCCAAGCTTTAGGGGCAAGAACTCACTATTTGACAAAAACTGCTGGGAAAAATGGAAAAGTTTGGCAGAAACTAGGCATCAACCATCATCTGACACCATATACCAAGTTAAAGTCAAAATGGGTATGTGATTTAGACATAAAGGGTAACACCATAAGCATATTATAGGACCATGAAAAAATCTATGGATAAGAGAAGAGTTTATGACCAAAAAAGAGATAGAGATGATCATAGGACATAAAATGGATAATTCTGATTACCTAAAATTGAAAAGTTGTTGTGCAAAGAAAACCAATACAGCCAAAGTTAGAAGGAAAGCAGGAAATTGGGCAGAAATTTTTCACAGCAGGTTTTTTTTTTCTGATATAGGGCTCATTTCTCAAATATATAGGGAATTGAGCCAAATTTATAAAAATAAGGACCATTCCCCAATTGATAAATGGTCAAAAGATATGAACAGATAGTTTTCAGATGGAGAAATCAAAGCTATCTATCGTTATATGAAAAGAATGCTCTAAATCACTATTGTTTAGAGAAATGGAACTTTCCAGTACCACCTCACATATATCAGATTGTCTAATATTTCAGAAAAGGAAAAAAATGTTGGAGGGGATGTGGGAAAATTGGGACATTAATGTACTGTTGTTGGTGTTCTGAACTGATCCAAGCATTCTGGAGAATAATTTGAAACTATGCCCAAAGGACTATAAAACAGTGTATATATTAAATATACCCTTTGATCCAGCAATAGCAGTACTAGGTCTGCATCCCAAAGAAATAAAAAAAAAAGGAAAAGAACTTACATGTACAAAAAAAATTTATAGCAGCTCTTTTTATGGTGATGAAGAATTAGAAATTGAGGGGATGACTATCACCTGGGGAATGGCATATAATTGTGATGGAATTCTATTGTGATATAAGAAATGACAAGAAGGGTGGTTTCAGAAAAACCTGAGATTTACATGCAACTGATGCAGAAACTGATAGAGTGGCAGAACCAGAAAAACATTGTACACAGTAACAGCAATATTTTAACAATGATTAACTGTAAAAGATCCAAGACAATTCCAAAAGACTCATGATGAAAAATGCTATCCACCTCCAGAGAGAGAACTGATGAACTCTGAGTACAGATTGAAACATGTTTTCTTTCACTTTCTTTTTCTTGTTTTTTTTTTTGTTTTGTTTTTTGTTTTGCAGCATGGCTAATATGGAAATATGTTTTGCATGACTCCACATATATAATGAGTATCATATAGCTTGCCTTCTCAATGAGTGGGGGAGAGGAAGGAGGAAGAGAATTTGAAACTCAAAATTTTTTAAAATGTTAAAAATAAATACTTACTTACTTCCTTTTTTAATTTTATTATGATTTCAGTAATTGATTATAAGATGGTCTGGAGAATTACCTGGGAGCCATTCTAGGCCAACTTCTGATCCACCACTCAGTACAATGTCTGGCACATAAGCACTTAATAAATACTGATTGATTGGTTATTCCTCCTAGCTATGTGCTCATAGATGAACCACTTCCCTTCTTTGGGCCTTAGTTTTCTTATCTGTAAAGTGAAGATAATAATAAACTCCCTACCTCATACGATTGATGAGAGGAAAGCCCTTTGATTTTTTGTTTGTTTGTTTGTTTTTGCTTTTTTTTTTCTTTTTTGGTGAGGCCATTGGGATTAAGAGACTTGTCCAGGGTCACAAAGCTGGTAAGTGTCAAGTATCTGAGGGAGGATTTGAACTCAGGTCCTCCTGACTCCAAAGCCAGAGCTCTATCCACTATGCCACCTAGCTGCCCCTAGAGGAAAGCTCTTTGTAAACTTGAAAGCAACACAGGAATGTGAGTTATAAATGTGAGCTAATTCCTACTCCTTATAAGTAATTTTGTGTAGTGAATAGAGCCTGCCTCTGATACTTATTAACACTGCAAACCAATACTAGTTACTCTATCTTTGTGTGTTTCAGGCAATTCCTTAGAATTTATTAGACTACTGAGTAATTGTCAGCTGATTGCTAGAGGGAGTTTACATACAAGGAGTTCCTTATCCAGACACAGATTCTTCCTGTATTTTTGTTAGGACCCTTACAGTTACAAAATTCCATGCCTCGACGATGTTCTGTGCTGTTAATGGAAGAAGTACTGGTTTGTAGGTCGAGAGGTCTAGCAGAGTCCAGTCCAGCAGTTAACTCTCTGTGTAACTTTCAGTAAGTCACTTTCTCAGTGGGCTTCAGTGGATTCGCTCCTCTGTAAAGTAAGGGAGTCAGATCTATATAGTGTCTTCCAATTCTAATGTTCTATTCTTGAGGAACTTCCAGGCCTGTTACTCCATTTCCTAAGGCCTCTTTCAGGCCAATGTTCCATATTCTAAGGCCTTATCCAGCTCTGATATTCTGTTATAAGGCTCCTCCCAACTCTGACATTCTGTGTTCTATGGCCTCTTCCAGGCCTGATGTTCTGTCTTCTAAGGACCCTCCAAATCTTTGACATTCTATGGCTTAAGTATTTTACCATTGTGAAGGATTAGTAAGTATCCTTTGTTTACTTATCAGTGACTTGAGTCTCTAGACCATCAGAAGGCATCTTAGAAACGATCTAGTCCAACTATAGAAAGAGACAGAAAAAAGGAGAAGCCAAGGGCTAGGCTGTCAGAGGTCATCCTAGTTTAGAGTCTAAAAAAAATCATCTCTGTGGAAATTATTTCTCTCCTGCAGCTGCTCTATCTACAGACACAAATCAGGGCAAGTTTTTCAACTTTTCCTTGTTCGTCATAGCAGGGGAGCTTATGCCCACCTCAGAGGCAGGTCCAAACCCAGGCCTCAAAGAATCACCAAATCTGTCTCTCCTTAAGGGATTTTAATATTAATAAAATCTCTGAGACAGAATTGACAAGTCGGATGGGACTGCCACAGAAGCACAGAATCTTAGGTTTATCTTAGGCTCTCAGAATTAGAGTGTTATAACTAGAAAGCACATTGGAGCATAGAATGCCAGAGCTGGAAGGGACATTTGAACATAGGACACAGAAGGTCAGAGGTAGACAGGAACTTAAAGTGGCCTAATCCAAATGAATCCATTTTATAGATGAAAAAACAAAAGTCCAGAGGGGGTACTTCCCCCAAAACATGAGATCATAGATTTAGAGCTAGGAGGGACCTAAGAGGCCATCTGGTCCAATCACCTCATTTTTGCAAATGAGGAACATGGCTTAGAGGCCTAAATAGTTATTATGACTTGCCCCAGGTGACCCTGATAGTAAATAGCTGAGCTGAGACTTGAACCAGGGAGCTCTCACTTTAAAATCCAAACCCCTTTCCACCATGACATACTGCTGCCCTGGTCAGTGGTAGTAGACCCAGACTCTATCCTAAGTCTTATGATTCTTCAGCCAAAGCTCCTGTCAATACACCAGAGCCACCTCTAAAATGGAATTAAAGATCTCCCACCTCTTCTTCCCCAACCTCTGCTCCCCAAGCTAATCTCCCTTGGATTATTTTCTTTCTCAGATACTCAAGACATGTCCATAGAGCAGCCCTCAAGCTTTGTGACAGCCACTATTGGAGGTTCAGCAGTACTGCGATGCAGATCAAAGATTGACCTTCCTGCTGGGCCAGTGAGGTGGTATAAGGGGACCGGACCTAACAGGGTTCTCATCTACAGTGACAAAGAGCGGTGCCCCCGGGTCCAAAAGGTGGAGAACACAAATCGTGTCTTTGACATCCGCATAAGCAACATCACCAGCCAGGATGAAGGAGTCTACTACTGTATCAAGTTCAAGAAGAACCCTGAAAATGAAACCAGCTCTGGGGGTGGCACCCACCTTATTTGTAAGTACAAACCAAAGGAAGGCAAAGGAGTACAGGAGAAAGAGCACCAGATTTGGACTGGGAGAGTCAACATCCCAATCCTAGCTCTGCTATTTCCTACCTGTATGACCTTAGGAGAGGTAGGGACAAATATCTAAGAAGGGCCTACTATGTGCTGAGTGCTTTATAAATACTATCTCATTTGATTCTCACAACAACCCTGGGAGATAGGTACTATTATTACCTTCATTTTAGCGATGAGGAAACTGAGGCAGACAGAGATTAAGTAACTTGCTCAGAGTCACACAGCTAGTAAGTAAATCTCAGATTGGATTTGAATTTAGGTCCTCTTGACTCCAGGCCCGACACTTCATCCAATGTGCCACCTAGCTGGTGTAGTGGATACAGAGTGTAGCAAAAGCTTAAAAAGAGCTGGATTCATGATTGAACATATATAACCTATAATCATATTGCTTAATGTCTTAGGAGGTGAGAGAGGAAGGGAGAAAATTTGGAACTCAAAATTTTTTAAAATGGAATGTTAAAAATTGTCTTTATATGTTATTGGGAAAAAAATAAAATACTATTTTTTAAGAAGTAGATGCAAACTTAGGTTCCTGGCTCCACTGAGCCATGGACTTGAAAAGGAAAGACCAAAGTTCAAATTCTTCCTCCAACCTTTATTAGCTGTGTAACTTTGGGGAAGTTACCTTTTTGAGCCTCAGTTTCCTCATCTGTAAAGTGAGTGGGACTTCAGGTGCCAAGATGGCAGAGTAAGGAAGGAACCCTCTAAAGCCCTCCCAAATTCCCCTCCAAACTTGAAAACTGCCTCAGAACTGATTTAGAAGTGGGGAAGCAACTTACCAACCTAGCAGGAAAGCTCTGTCTTACTAGGATGGGAAGGGAGTAAGGTCCTATACACATTGGCAGCAGCAGCCAGCCTCACAGCAGGGGGCCTGCAGCAAGGCTCCAAGCCTGGGGCAATCCACCAGCAAGGCCCTGCCCTCTGGCAAGCCAGCAATCTGTGCAGCACAGCAAGGCCCCACCCTCAGCACAGGCCACCAGCAGGGCCTCGTCCCCATTGTTGACCAATAGTGAGGCCCCACCCCTGGGGCCAGGCAGCAGCAAAATCCCTCCCTCAGGGCCAGCCAGCAGAGAGGCCCTATTTTCATAGCAACCCAGCAGCAAGGCCCTGCCCTTGGAGTGGACAGCAGCAAAACCTTGCAACCAGGGGAGGCCAACAAAGAGGCTCCCCCTACAGTGCAAGCCAGCAACTGGGCTCCAAGGCCCAGTGAAAGCCAGTAGCAAGGTCCTGAGCACCAAAACAAGAAGCCTGGGACAGTGCAGGAACAGAGCCCAATTCTCACATAAAAATTCCAAGTCACAAGATAGGTAGGAAAATGAGCAAAAATGGTGACAGGGAGGATTGAGGCACAAACTTAGAATAGGACAAGTGTCAAAATGGCTACATGTGAAGCCTCAAAGCAAAATGTAATTTGGTCTCAGGCCCAAAAAGATTCCTGGAAGAGCTTAAAAAGGATTTTAAAAAGCAAATTAGAGAAAAATAAGAAAAATTGGGAAAAGAAATGAATAGTGCAAGAGAATCATGAAAAAAAAGTCAACAACATGGGAAAAGACATACAAAAATTCACTGAAGAAAATAACTTCTTAAAAATAGAATTGGCCAAATGGAAAAAGAGGTACAAAAGTTCACTGAAAAAAAAATTCCTTAAAAATTAGAATTGGCCAAGTGGAAGCTAATGACTCCATGAGACATCGAGATATGATAAAACAAAATCAAAAGAAGAAAAAAAAGAAGAAAAGTGAAATTTCTCATTAGAAAAACAACTGACCTGGAAAATATATCCAGGAGAGATAATTTAAGAATTATTTGACTACCTGAAAGCCATGATAAGAGAAAAAAAAAAGCCTGGACAACATCTTCCAAGAAATTATCAAGGAAAATTGTCCTGAAGCAGAGGCAAAATAGAAATTAAAAGAATTCATTGATCACCTGAATTCAGATTCATCTGAAAGAGATCCCAGAATGAAAACTCCCAGGAACATCATAGCCAAATTCTAGAGCTCCCAGGAAAGTATTGCAAGCAGCTAAAAAGAAACAATTCAAATATCATGGAGCTATAGTCAGGATTACACAGGATTTGGCAACTTTCACATTAAAGAAATGGAGGGCTTTGACTGTGATATTCCAGAAGGCAAAGGAGTTAGGATTACAACCAAGAATCACATACCCAACAAAACCGAGTATAATCCTTCAAGGGAAAAATGGATAGTTAATGAAATAGAGGATTTTCTTTTTTTTTTCCCTATGATAGTCATTTATTTAAATTAAATAAATTTGTAACACAGTTACAAATAGTTAGATAACTTTTGCACAACCATACTTATTAAAAAATATTTTGAAGACAACATATTGATAGATTCTTTTGACATGATTACTTCTTATCCCATTTTTCTCTCTCTTTTCTTTCATGTATAACCTCCTTCAGATATGGTTGAAAGTATAATTTGTCCTCTTCATATTTTGTCCACTGGTTTTAGGCAAAATCTGCTGCCTCATGGTCAGGTCCAGAGCTCTCTTCATACAAAACGTTCAATCATTATACAGATCCTCTGGAAGCCTCCTCATGACCTCTTTAACATTTTCATCTTCACAAAGTACGTCATCATGCAATAACCTAAGTTTTTTGACTCCTGCAGCCCATTTTCAAAGACTCTGAAGACATCAGCTTGATGCTACAGTAGGTACCCACATAGCCATCTTGATCTCAAAACAGAGGACTTTCAAGCATTCCAGACCTGACCATTCCAGACCAGAGCTGAATAAAAAAAAATTTTTGATCTTCAAATACAAGGCTCAAGGGAAACATAAAAAAGAGACAAGAAAGAGAAAGCAAAGAGATTCAATAAGAATTAACTGTTTGTATTCCTATAGGGCAAGATAATATCTGTAACTCTCAAGAACTTTATTACTATAAAGGCAATCAGAAGGAGTAAATGTAGTGAGAGGGTATGGATATGAGGTGACTTTGATGTCATCCACACCCAAAAAAGCAAAATAAGTGAGAAGGAAGATTGCACTGGGAGAAAAAGGAGGGGGAAGATAGAATGGGGTAAATTATCTCACAAAAAAGAGGAATGAAAGAGCTATTATAATGGAGGGGAAGATGGGAGGGGGGCAAAGCTTGAACCTTACTCTCATCAGAATTGACTCAAAGATATATACATATATACTCAGTTGGACACAGAAATCTATCTTACCCTATAAGGAAGTAAAAAGGGATGGGAATAATAGAGGGGGAAAACTGATAGAAAGGAAGGAGGATTGGGGGAGACAGTGATCAGAGTAAAACACTTGTGAAGATAGGTTGAAGATGGACAGCGAGGGAAGGATAAACAAGGGAAAAATAGAATGGAGGGAAATAAAATGGAAATGGATAGCGGAATGGATTAAAACCCAGAATCATACAATGTATTATTTACAAGAAACACATTTGAAGCACAGAAACACACACAGAATAAAGATAAGGTCCTGGAGCAGAATCTATTATGCTTCAGCTGAAGCAAAAAAATAAAAGGGGGTAGCAATCATTATCTCAAACAAAACAAAAGAAAAAAAATAGATCTAATTAAAAGAAATAAGGAAAAAAACTGTATCTTTCTGATAGGTACCACAGACAATGAAGTAATAACAATACTAAACATATATCCACCGAATGATATAACATCTAAATTATTGAAGGAGAAGTTGAATGAGTTATAGGAGGAAATAGACAATAAAACTATACTAGTGGGGGACCTCAATTTTTCCCTCTCAGAACTAAATAAATCTAACTAAAAAAAAAAAATAGAAGTTAAATGGGTGAATAGAATTCTGGAAAAGATAGCTCTCTGAAGGAAATTGAATGAGAATAGAAAGGAATATACCTTTTTCTCAGCAGTACATGGCACCTACACAAAATTTGAGCATGTATTAGACCATAAAAACCTCACAAACAAATGCAGAAAACCAGAAATAGTAAATGTATCCTTTTCAGATCTTAATGCAATAAAAATTACATTCAATAATGGCAATGGAAAGATAGGTTAAAAAATTAATTGGAAACTAAATAATCTGATCCTAAAAAATAAGTGGGTCAAAGAAACAATCTATGATTTCATTGAAGAAAATGACAACAATGGGACAACACACCAAATTTCATGGAGTGAAGCCAAAGTGATACTTAGAGGGAAATTTATATCTTTAATTGCTTACATCAATAAAATAGGGAAATAGCAGATCAATAAATTGGGCATACACCTTAAAAAAAACAACTAGAAAAGGAACAAATTAAAAATCCCCAATTAAACACCAAATTGGAACCTGAAAAATCAAAGGAGAGATTCATAAAATTGAAAATAACAAAACCATTGAACTGAAAAATAAAACTAGAAGCTGGTTTTATTTTTTAAAAAAACCCCAATAACAATAAAACAGAGAAACCATTGGTTAATTTGATTTTAAAAAGGGAAAGAAGAAAACCAAATTACCAGTATCAAAAATGAAAGGAGTGAATTCACCACAAATGAAACAATTAAAACAATTATTAGGAGCTATTTTGCCAAATTAAATGCCAATAAATTCGACAATTTAAATGAAATGGATGAATCTCTACAAAAATATAAATTACCCAGATTAACAAAAGAAAAAATAGAATACTTAAATAAACCAATCTTAGAAAAAGAAGTCTAGCAAGTCATCAATATATTTCCTAAGGAAAAATCCCCAGGGCCAGATGGATTCACAAGCAAATTAGACCAAACATTTAAAAAACAATTAATCCCAATATTATGTAATTATTTGAAAAAATAGGTGAAGAGGGAGTTCTACCAATCCTTTTATGAGACAATTATGGTGTTGATACCTAAACGAGGAAGAGCAAAAACAGAGAAAGAAAATTATAGACCAATTTCCCGAATGAATATTAATGCAATATTTTAAATAAAATACTAGCAAGAAGATTACAGCAATATATAATAAGGATCATACACTATGACCAGGTGGCATTTATACCAGGAATGCAGGGCTGGTTTGATATTAGGAAAGCTATCAGCACAAATGACCATATCAATAACAAAACCAACAGAAATCATATGATTATTTCAACAGATGCAGAAAAAGGCTTTGACAAAATACCACACCCATTCTTATTAAAAACACTAGAAAGCATAGGAATAAATGGAGGTTACCTGAAAATGATAAGTAATATTTATCTAAAACCATGAACATGCATTATCTGTAATGGGGATTAGCTAGAAACCTCAATACAATTAGGGGTGAAGCAAGGATGCCCATTATCACTTCTATTATTCAATATTGTACTGGAAATGTTAGCTACAGCAATAAAAGAAGAAAAAGAAATTGAAATTAGAATAGACAATGAGGAAACAAAACTATCACTCTTTGCAGATGATGTGATGATATATTTAGAAAATCCTAAAGGATCAACTAAAAAACTAGTGGAAGTAATTAACAACCTTAGCAAAGTTGCAGGATACAAAATAAACCCATAAATCATCAGCATTTCTATATATTACCAACAAAGCTGAGCACCAAGAGATAGAAAAATTCCATTTAAAATAACTATAGACCATATAAAATACTTGACAGTCTACCTGCCAAGACAAACCCAAGAACCATTTGAAGACAATTACAAACACTTCTCACACAAATAAAATCAGATCTAAACAATTGAAAAGATATTAATTGTTCATGGGTAGGCCATGCCAATATAATTAAAATGACAATTCTAGTTAATTAAACTACTTATTCAGTGCCATACCAATCAAACTACCAAAAAATTATTTTATACAGCTAGAAAAAAAATAATAACATTATTCATCTGAAAGAACAAAAGGTCAAGGATATCCCCAGAATCAATAAAAAAAAAATGTGAAGGAAGGTGGTCTAGCCGTACCAGATCTCAAACTGTATTATGAAGTAGTAATTATCAAAACAATCTGGTACTGACTAAGAAGTAGATTAGTTCTGGTCGATCAGTGGAATAGATTGAGTACCTAACACATTATAGTAAATAACCATAGTAATCTAGTGTATGATAAAACCAAAGATCCAAGCTTTTGGAACAAAAGTTCATTATTTGACAAAAACTTCTGGGAAAACTAGAAAATAGTATGGTAGAAACTAAGTGTAGACCAGCATCTCACACCATATGCCAAGATAAGGTCAAAATGGGTACATGATTTACACATAAGAGATGCTATTGTAAGCAAATTAGGAGAGCATGGAACAGTTTATCAGTCAGTTTTCTGGATAAGGGGAGAATTTAGGACCAAACAAGATATAGAAGGCATTATAAAATGTAAAATAGATAATTTTGATTATAGAAAACTAAAAAGCATTTGCACAAACAAAACCAACAAAAAAGAAAGCAGAAAACTTGGGAGTTGGGGATATGCAACAAGTATCTCTGATAAAGGTCTCATTTCTCAATATATAGGGAATTGAGTCAATTTTAGAAGAATACAAATCATTCCCCAATTGATAAATGGTCAAAAGATATGAACAGGCAGTTTTCAGACAAAAGAACTAAAGCTATCTATAGTCATATGAAAAAATGCTCTAAATCACTATTGATTATAGAAATGCAAATTAAAACAACTCTGAGGTACTGCCTCATATCTATCAGATTGGCTAATATGACAAAAAATGAAAATAATAAATGTTGGAGGGGATGTGGGAAAACTGGAACACTAATGCATTGTTGATGGAGTTGTGAACTGATCCAACCATTCTGGAGAGTAATTTGGAACTATGTCTAAAGGGCTATAAAATTGATCTAGCAATGTCACTGATAGTTCTATATCCCAAAAAGATTTTTTGAAAGGGCAGGGGGAAGGACCTATTTGTACAAAAACATTTATGGCAATTCTTCTTTGTGGTGGCTAAGAATTGGAAATTGAGGGGATGTCCATCAATTGAGGAATGGCTGAACAAACTGTGGTATATGATTGTGACGGAATATTATTGTGCTATAAGAAATGACAAACAGGATGATTTTAGAAAAAAACTGGAAAGACTTACATGAACTGATGCAAAGTTAAGTGGGAAGAACCAGGAGAACATTGTACACAGTAACAGCAATGTACAATGATCAACTGTGAATGACTTAGCTATTCTCAGCAACACAATGATCTAAGACAATCCAAAAGACTCCTAATGAAACATGCTATTCACCTCCAGAAAAAGAACTGATGTCGTCTGACTGCATACAACTTTTTCACTCTTTTTTTTTTGAATCTTCTTATACAAAATGAATAATATGGTAATGTTTTACATGATTGCACATGTATAACCTATGTCAGATTGCTTCCTGTCTGGGGAGGGGAAGGAAAGGAAGGATAGAGTTTGGAACTCAAAACCTTTTAAAAATTGTTTTAACATGTAATTGGGGAAAAAATAAAATGTCATTTTTTTTAACGAAGGGGATAAGATTTAATGGCCTTTTTAGCTCTAGATCTATGATCCTATGAGTAGCTCCAATTGTTCAGAAGTCATTCCTTATGTTTAGCATTAGCCCAAATCTATCCCAAACTTTTTTCTATTGGTCTTAAGGCTTCCTTTTTTTAAAGACAATTGGGGTTAAGTGACTTGCCCAGGGTCACACAGCTAGTAAGTGTCAAGTGTTTGGTCTGAGGTGGGATTTGAACTCAGGTCCTCCTGACTTCAGTGCTGGTGCTCTATCCACTGAGCCACCTAGCTGCCCCCCTTCTTTTATCAAATAGAACAAATCTGTTCCCTCTGTGCCACGACAGCCCTTCAGGTATCTAAAAATAATGATATTGTCTCCTCCCTCACCTCAGTCTCCTTTTCTTAAAGCTAAAGACTTTTTCTCTCTCTCTCTCTTTTTTAACCTAATCTTCATATAGTAGGGTCTTGAGGCTTTTCAGCAGCCGGTAGTTCCCCTTCTCTGGATACGTCCCAGCTTATGAACCTTCTTCCTAAAATGTGGTGCCCACGATTAAAGACAGGACCTCAGATCCGTTCTGAGCAGGACTGTTAGCTCCCTAGTCCTAGGTACCAGACTATTCAAACACTTGACCTGATGATTGTCCCGTTCATCACTTTCCACCTCTCACCTCAGGATCTTCTTATAGGCTATTCCCTCCTTTCCTCCACTTCATGGAAACCATAGGTTCTTTCAAAGCTCAATTTCAAAGCTCCAGGAAGCCTGTTCTGAACTTTCTAGTTGCTACTTCCCTCCCTCTGAAATGACTTTAAATATATTCTGCCCTTTATAGTCTATGTAAATGTTGTTGCCTCCTCTAATAGAATTTAGGCTTCTTGAAGGTAGGGACTGTTTTGGTTTTAATCTTTGAATTCTGAGGTAAGTGCCTGACAAAGGGTAAGCTTTTATTAAATGAATGAATGAATGGATTCATGCAGCCTAAAATGGAGTTCGGTCTGGGTTTCCAAAAGTACCCATAGTACATACAGTTTATCTCATTTCATTTCTCACCAGGCTACATCAGGACTTAGTGTCCCAAAACACACACACACACACACACACACACACACACACACACACACACACACGGGTTTCTCAGCTTCCTTTTAAGTGTGATCTTCACTCATTAGAATGTAATCTCCTTCAGGGCGGGGACTATTTTTGCTAATACTTGCATCCACAGTGCTTACCACAGTGCCAGGCACATAATCGGCGCTTAACGAATGCTTGGTGACTGACTGTTTCCTGCCTCCCATTGCAGTGCAAAGCCAAATTTCGTCGGGCGTCCTCATAGCTGCCACGGCGGGATCCGTGTCCCTCATCCTCGTCCTCTTAGCCCTCTGCTACTACTTCAAGAGGCAGAAAGGTGACAACTGATTTTTCTGGGGTCCCAGAAGGTTCGATGCTGGGGATGAAACGTTGTGAGTCGCGGTAGAGATGAGGGGGAGAGCACAGCGCTATTGGCAATAGCGACTCCTCTCACCTGGGCAGATCCCCTGGTTTTTGGGGGGTGGAGGGACCAAACCTGTGGTTCTGTCCATGTAGGGAGCTCTTGGGGGGGGGGGGGCTTTCCACTACCAAAGCCCGGCGGCATCTTCTCTGCAATTTATATCCCTGGGGCCCAATTTACCTGCCCAGGCTCACACGGCCAGGATGTGGTAGAGGCAGGACGCCAACCCAGGCCGCCTAACACCCAGGGCAACTCCCTATCCACGACGCCACCTGGACACATATCGTCTCATTGTCGTGCAGAGAAGATGCCAGATACGGAGTCAAAAGTCATGGGTTTAGAGGGAGGGAGAAACTTTTGGAATTCAAAAATCTTGTAAAAATTAATGCTAAAAATTGCCTTTACATATAATTGGGGAGGGGAGAATACTATTTAGAAAAAAAAAAAAGACATGGGTTCAAAGCCCAGCTCTGCCACTTATGTGTGTGACCTTGAACAAATCTCTTAACCTATGTCTCCATACCCTCATCTGTAAAATGAGAGGGTTGAGCTAAACAACCTTAAAGCTTCCTTCCAGCTCTAAAGCTATGATCTCACTTGACCGCACAGTGGCAGAAGCTCACTCCCAGCAGCCCTGGGAGAGGAGAATTGGGCAAGGATTATTGTGCCCGTTTTACAGATGAGAAAAGTGAGGCCCCTTGACAGGTTACCTTGACCACGATCTCCTAGACAGTAAATGTCCAAGATAGGATTCGAATCCAGGTCTTTTTGACTCCCAAGTTGCCAGCATTCTGTCTACTCTGACACACTGTGTCTAAATAAAGAACAAAATGTTACCTAGAACATAGAATGTCAACTTGGAGGGACACATAGAACACAAAATGGAAGAACTGAAAGCAGTTGTATAGATTGCCCAGTCAAACTTTCTCATTTTACAAAAAAAAAGGGGGGGGGAAGCAAAGGCCCCACCAGCAGCCCTAAAACTTAACCCCAGTTTCTTTGATTCCCATTTATAGGGCTCTTTCTTTCCTCCTACGTGTTGTGTCTCTACAGGAAGTCAGGTGTCTATGAGGCAGCTGGGCGGTGTGGTGGATAGACCTCTGAATTTGGAGTCAGGAAGACCTGAGTTCAAATTCAGCATCAGACACTTACTAGCTGTGTGACCCTGAGCAAGTCACTTAATACCTCTGGGCCTCAGTTTCCTCATCTGTAAAATGAGGATTATAAAAGCACCTACTTCCCAGTCCATGTTGTGAGAATCAAAAGACATCATACTTGTAAAGTGCTTTGCAAGTTTTAAAGTGCTATTATTACGTGAAGGTTGGGGGAAAATCCTATTGTGTGTTCTTCCTTAGTTGCCCACCCCAGGATGTATTTATACCTGTGGGATCAGCATCCCAGAGTAGTTCTGAAGTGGAAAAGCAATTATGGAGAGTAGTATGGCCTGGGATGGGTGGGAAGGATGTCTGAACACAGCCTTGCGTGGTGTAAAGAAACCAGTAAGTATTTGTTATAGTCAGAGAACTGGCCCTAGTCCTGGATGGGGGGGATTACTAGATGAATATAGGTATTGGAGCCTTGGGATGTATTTGACTTTTTTGTAGTACCAGCTGGGGGTGCCCATCTGCAGCCTCCCAGGGACCCTGCCCAAGATTCTCTTTATTTTTTTTTCCCCAAGATTGTCTTTAGCAGTGCCTAGAGCTGGGGGTGCTCCAGAGCTTGGGTGCAGCAGCTACCATCACACTTTGCCATTCCCTAGAAGGGTTCTATAGCCACTGGGGCACTGGCCTGGGCCTAAAGCTAACATTGTCTGTTTTCTTTTTTCTCCATCTAGGTCCAAGCCGATGTTTGGCCAGGTTTGTATGTCCTGGGTGTTGGATGATGCCCCACCCCAAAAGGGAGTTTGCTTTTTCCTTAACATGTCTGCCTTCTTCCCAGGAAAAAGTTTCTACCACAGGGCCCAGATAATTTCCCAATACATTTCCCAAAATCCTTGACCCGAGGCCTCAACACCCCTAGCCTGGACACATGCTCCTCCAGACTCCGTCCTCAGAAGGCCCAACCCTGTCTGACAAAGGCGGAGTGGGAGAATTCATACCTTGTCACTGCACCTCCCCATTCTCAAGAAAAGAGAACAAGTTTTTACCTTTTAATTCAGGCCGTGGAGGGAGGTCATCTGCCCCTGGGAACAAAAGAACAAAGACAAAAAATTTTAAAATATGCGACATTCTGAGATGAAAGAAAATGACAAATAGTACTCAAAGAATTATACTGGGTGTTATAAAGTATGTATTCTAATTACTCACTCACTGGCTGGTTTTGTGACCCCCTGATTTCTTCCTCTGTAAAATCAGAGTACTGTCCCAGATGGGACATTCTATGCCCCATGTCTAAAGTTCCTTACAACTTTGACAGCCTATATCTACTTTCTAACTTTTTGTGTAGTGATGATTATGCTTCTATTATAGAGGAAGAAACTGTGATCTAGTGAAATTAAGTGACATGTCCAAGCTACCAGAACAATTCAGTGGCAGAGTTGGGACTAGACCCAGGTATCCTGACTCTGAGGCTCTGTCACTATACTTTACTGCTTCATATACCATAAGTTGGTGCAATGCCCTTCCCTGGCACCCCCTCAAGTGTGGCAAGTCAGAAAAACTAATTTTATTTTGAACTTGACTACATCTTCTTTCTTCTCTCCTTTAGGCCAGAAGCTTCAAAGAAGAACCAGTCACAGAGAGAGGTAAGGGTTTGATTGATATGCCCCATGAAAGCCAGGTGGAATCAGTCACTAAGCAACTACTGAGCACCTGCTTTGAACATGGCCTTGTGCTAAGTATTCTTAGGAGAGAGGATAGAGAGGAACTAGGAGACATAATCTCTCCCCTCAGAGAGTTTCAAGTCTAATCATGAAGAAAAAGAGGAACTTATATGCATACCTATCCAGTAAGGTTAAGAATATTTATTAAGCAACAGGCTCCAGAAGTTATGGAGTTTAACTCAAAAGGAAAGTAGAGGTAGATAAGGTATAATCAGGGAAATCTTCCTGGAGGAGGCAGGATATCAGAGAAGAAAAATACAGTTAGCCTGAAGGAGCATGTTCTTGAGTCTACTATGAAGAAGAATGTATCATAGACCAATACGTCATAGACTAGTCTAAAATGTCATAGACTAGAATGTCACAGCTGGGAGGGACCTTAGTGATCACTTATTCCAACAATCTCATTTTTCAGATTAGAAAACTAAGTCCCAGAAAGAAATGACTTGCCCAAGACCCCACCTCCAACTAGATGACCTCTATATATAGTCCCTTCTAGCCCTGTTTCTATGAGTCTAGGATATTACCTGGATACCCAATGAGTTCATACATACATACATACACACATGTATATGTATGTGTGTGTGTATCTTCTTCCCCACTTTTCTACCCACAAGTCTGTCTCCTGATCCATCCATATCTTTCTCCTCAAAAGCTCAATACCTCCAGAAAATCTTTTCTGAAAAATAATAATAGCTCACATTTAAGAATTAATTGATTCTGATCAGGTCTTGAGGCTGCAGGACCACTCAGTTGTTCAAATGCACTTGACTATTTAGTAACTTCTCATTGTATACAGTAGCTGCCGATCCTACTGGAAATTCTGAGCACTGGATCGGGAGTCGGGGTTTAAACCCAGGAGACCTAGGTTTAAACCTGGGTTCTGCCACTGACTTACTGTGCAACTTTAGTTAAGTCCCTTTCCCTCTCTGGACATCCATTCACCTTTCTTCCTCCTTCCTCCCTGTGTCCTTGGGTAATTTGTTTGAGTCCTCCTTGTATCCTCACTAGGCTCCCTTCAGGGCAGAGTCCACATGGAATAGAGCCAACCTCAGTGACCCCAGTTGCTTCCATGACTCCAGTTAACACCCAGTAGGAATCCACAGGAATCTAATGTTTACCTTGCCATAAGAGCCCTACACAGCAGGACTGATGAGTAAATGCAGCCCAAAGCCAAATGCATTGGAATAGATGGTTCCTAAGGTCCCTTCCAGATACGGTATTCTACACGTTTCAGCCCTACGTACTCTAATCTTTACTGTAAGACTGTAGCAGCTACTGAAGGATTCATGACAGGGCCATCACTCCCTTTCCCATGCTCAGTCCATTGACTAGGGTGGAACTGTTCCTCCCAACTGCTTTACTGTCTTCAGAGATGGTAGGGGGAGGGTGACGCAATGCTCCCAGGAGGATAGAAGGGAATGGGGGAGGGGGAGTGGCGGCTTTGCTGGTAAGTGCCTTCCCCATCTCTTCTTCTGGACTGAAGGTACCATGGTGACGGGTGCCATGGAAACTGGCAAGCTGGAAGGAGGCCAGGGCATCCCACAGTGACAATCAGCAGCCCACATGCAATGGTGCTGACCTCCCAGGGGTCCTGCCCAGAGCCCTTGGGCCTGCTCAGGGGCCAGGCCGGTCACTATTGCTATAGACCTTGCCTAACAGGGGTCCTTTGACAACTGATCACATTTATTTCTCACTGGTCAGACTCAGCCATGAGTGTAGCAAAGGGAAGAATCTTCCCCAGGGGGCTTACTGAGTTGGGAGCTAGAAGATTAAAGGAATCACAGAATGCCAAAGGCGGGAGGGCCCTTACAGCATAAACTATCAGAGCCAGAGGTAACCTTGTTGTTTTGTCCATTAGTCCTGCCAGACTCTCCGTGACCCCATTTGGGGTTTTCTTAGCAAAGATACTAGAGTGGTTTGCTATTTCCTTCTCTAGCTCATTTAACAGATGAGGAAACTGAGGCAAACAGAATCAAGTGACTTGACCAGGGTCACATAGCTAGGTCATCCATGAAAGCCATGGGTGGAATCAGTCACTAAGCAACTACTGAGCACCTGAGGTCACATTTGAACTCAGGTCTGGCACTCTATCCACTGTACCACCTAGCTGACCTTAGAGGTAACTTTAAAGACCTTCTAGTCTAACTCTCCCTTTTATTTATTTGTTTGTTCATTCATCTATTTATTTATTCATTCATTTGTTTATTTATCTATCTATCCATAGATTAATTTATTTATTTTGACAGGTGAGGAAATTAGGTCCTAGAGAGGGAAAATGACTGCCTAAGTTCACCCTGCAGAGTCAGGACTTAAACCCAGATCTCCAGACTACCAATCCACATTTTATTCTACTCTGCCAAGGGGCCCAACTTCTCTTCTCCTACCCAATCTACCCCTTCCCCTCTTTCTTCCTCCTTCCTTCCTGTTTCCTTGGGTAACTAGTTTGAGTACTCCTCATATCCTCACTCGGCTCCCTTCAGGGCAGAGTCCACATGGAAATAGAGCCAACCTCAGTGACCCCAGTTGCTTCCATGACCCCAGTTAACACCCAGTAGGAATCCACAGGAATCTAATGTTTACCTTGCCATGAGAGCCCTACACAGCAGGACTGATGAGTAAATGCAGCCCAAAGGCCTGAAAAGTCACCCACCCTGGCCTCTGTATCGATATAACTCATGGGTTACTCCCTGATCTCTGATTCAGTGTCAGGATACCACCCATGGCTGCAGAGAAATCCGGCTCCTTCCACTGAAGTGGAGGCTTTCATATTATTTTCAGTGACATCCTCCACTAACCTCAACAGGAGCTTCTAATAGTCTTCTGGGGAGCCTGGTGATTGGAAATGACTTTTACTGTGATCTTAGGTGATGACTAAGTCACACAAAAAGGCAGAGTCAGGGTCCTGGCCCTAGCTTTCCTAAGGACCAGACAGGAACCTGACCTAATGTTTAGTGCTTTGACATTGCCTAAAGGGGTCCACAGTAGTCTGTGTCTTCTAGTTAGAAATAGAAAAGCCTGGGTCCTCAACAGTGATAGGATAAGGGAGGGGGATGAAGGAGATCAGCAAAGATCAAGAAGAGGTCAAGAAGGAGAAGTTACAAGGGGAAGATGTGATTTGGCAAAAGGAATGGAGGAGATCCAAAGGATTTCCTGGTTATCTTTGATACCCCTCTGGCTGGCAGGGATATGGGCTGAGAAACTGTACAGAGCTTCATAAACCATCCTTGTGTGAATGCAGATGGTAGAACAAAAAGAGTCAGGGAATGAGGCAGTTTTCTTTTGTGATTCTTCTGAAACTGTGAATTCTTTGGCTCTTCCTCCTACCCTGGCCCACAGACTTATAGGACATAAAACCTAGAATGCCTAGAGCTAGAAGAAATCTAACAGAGTGGCAAAGTGGAAAGAACACTGACTTTGGAGTCAATGGACCTGAGTTCAAATCCTACCTTTGACATTCAATACCTATGTGATCTTGGACAAGTCTCCCTAGGTTGAGACCATCTCTTCCAATACCGAAGGTCATCTAATGAGGCAGGCCTGAGAAGAAGGAATCAAGTTTTGTTTCGTTTTTTTTAATATACACTTACATACTTTATCCATATAGATTTTGGCTTCACCAATAAGATGTTCCTAATTCCTCCTCCCCTCCCCCAAACCTCCTGATCAAAGCCTTTTTTCTTTATCTCTCCAGCTAACCAGGAACAATGAGATTGTATATGCTGATCTCCAACCCATTGGGAAAAATCCTCAGTCCATGAGACCAGCAGAGGAGAAGGGTCTCCATTCTGAATATGCCACTATTCATGTCCAGTAATTGGGACCCCGCAGAAGTAGCTCCACTGAGAAGGGAAGGACCACTTTCCAGGGAATTCTGAGGATTCTGCAGCTCCAGTCAGGAAGAGGAAAGTTGAAGATTCTTTCAGGGACCTGAAAATAGAGCCATGGGGATCAACGAGCAGTAGAACCTGTGTAGGAGGCCCAGGGCTGCCAGTTACTAGGATATGTAGTATTAGGCAAATCCCTTCCCTTCTCTGGTCCTGATTTCTTCATCTGTAAAATGGGGATAGCATCCTCTCAACTTCTTGCCTCACAAAGCTCAAATGAGATAACAGAAGTAAAGCCCTTTGTAACTATAAAACCCTATATCAATATTGTCTCTCCCTTCTGGAAAAAAAAATGTATTAATACTGACCTGGGAGCAGTTCCTCATCTTCCAGCAGGCTTTGAATCTATGCACCCCTAATTCTTTTGGGGTGCCAGGTCTCCTTAGATCTTTTGGCCTGGTCTAGAATACTAATCCATACATAAGGATCCCTGCTGGCTGCATATTGATTTAGTTTTAAAATGTAATGTTATCTTTGTTTTATTGTATTTTTTATTTACTTTGTCAAATATTTCACAATCACATTTTTCATCTGGTTCAGGCCACACTCAGGAGGTGACATCTCTGGCCTGAGACCCTAAAACGACACAAAAAAACTCTCTAGAGCTTACTCTAGGAAGAGAAATACTTGATGGAGATCATCAGAATAGAGACAATAGGGGAATTCTTAGCTCAATAATAAATTGGCCAGTCTAGCACCAGGGTGAACTATTGAGCACAAGTGATACATGCATGGGCCAACAGGGGAATCCCTGGACAACATACAGAACTATCAATAACAAATTCTACATGGTAACAATTGAGTACTTAACAACAATCCTAAATATATAAAATACACCAGAGACAGCCTTGTATAGTGGATAGAGAGCTGGCTTCGGAGTTGGAAACACCTGGGTTTAGGTCCCATCTCTACCACATACTGGATGTGTGTCCCTGGGCAATTCACCAAACCTCAGAGTGCCTATGGGCATTTCTCTAAAACGATTATCAGCTTCATTGATCATTATTATTTTCATCTGCTTTGTTCAAGGGAGTTCCTCACAGGAACAAAATCATATGGCTTGGTTAAAAAAAGTAAATAAAGCACACAAGGAATCCTATAGACTGGCACTGGGTAACCTTTCTTAGGTCCAGGTTGGCATTTCTAGATGGCATCCACAGGGGATGTAAGAAGTGCAGGGAAGGACTGCCAAGCCAGGTCTTCGCTACTCAGGACACTACCTGGTCAGAGCAGCTGCAGGTCAGCAAGCACGGCCAGGAGGGTATCCCACAGCACCCTTGGGAGGGAAGAGAAGTAGGAGTAGAGTCATCTGGCCCCTTCTCCCTTCCCAGCTGCAAGGTCAAAGAAAAGCAATAGGAGGGAAGGCCAAACTCCAGCACAGCAGCCTGCTGCTTCCTGTTACACTAGGTTCCATCACTCTGGTCCACTGTCTTAGAAGATGTATAGTGCTGTTGAAAGTTCTTCCAGCAGTCGTCAGATCAGAAGGGAGAGGAACCCCCATTAAACTAACAGAGCCATTTCCTTCCTTGTGGACCCCCGAGGTATCCATGGGTAGATTCCAGGAGGTCTGTGAACTTAGATAAAAAAAACAAAACAAAACAAGACAACCCTACATCTTTATTTCAGTATAACAGGTTTCCTTTGTAATCCTACCTATTTCATTTTATGTATTTTAAAACCATTATTCTAAGGAATCCTACTTGCCTAAAATAAAATACATCAGGATTACAAAGTGAACCATTATTCTGAGGAGTCCATAGGCTTTGCCAGACTGTGGACAGTGCCCATAACACAAAAAAGATTGAGAATCTTGGGGCTACAGTCTTGAATCAAGATAATCCTGCCCTGTGTCTCTGCTAGAAGGCATCCCTTGAATCTGTGACCCATGGAGAAATATTCCTGTGCTAACTAGGTAGGAGAGAGACAGGCTCTTTACTGCCACCCTCCCCATTTACACAGCCAGATGGGATTTGCTGTTAACTATGACACTGTAAGGGACAGTGGAGCCGAGGACACCTGAAAACACTTTCCCCATTCATGAGTTGTTGCTATTCATCATCATGCCCACCATGTTACCAAAGATGAAAGGAACTGGGGCCACTCAGTAACACATGTGGCCTTAGCTCAAGGACAGGAACCTTCCCTGGGAGGGGAAGAAAGTAGCTGTGTCTCCCTCCCAAGAAAAGTGCTATTTGAGAGAACTCAAGAAGAAGGCAATGAGGACTTCAAAGGAATCACTTAATAATAGTGCAATGAAGCATAGTAAAAATATCACTGATTTGGAGTCAGAAAACCTGGGTTCAAATCCCACCTCTGACACTGTTTGAGTGACCTTGGGAAAATCATTTGCTGGACCTCAGTTCTTCAACAGTAAAATGTGGCTGTGGTGGACTAGTTCTATGACCCTATAAATTTTAGGCCCTGGAGCTTCAGTTTACCTTCCATGAAGGGCAAGAGACTTCGGGTGTTAAACATTTTTCTTTCCCCACTCTTAGGCTATCTCAAAAAAGGGTTTAATTATTAGGTAACAATCTAATAGAAAGAAAAGCCTTATTTTGATCTTCCTGGGATCTAGGCACACTTTTCACCAAAGGGTAATTTGCCAATACATGTGATTAAAAAAATTTTTTTTTTGCTCCAGATCTTTGATTTCATTAACATGGGAAACTACTGGTATGAAAACTACATCCACTCATGTGAATCAGTTAATCAACAAACACTAGTTTTTGTGCCAGGCACTACTATGTGCAAGGTATTGTGCTAAGTGCTGGGGATACAAAAAGAGGCAAAAGACAGTCCCTGCCCTCAAGGAGCTTACAATCTAATGGTGTAGACAACAGGCATACAAATATGTACAAACAAATAGAAAATAATTAAAAGAGAAAAGGCACTGGAATTAAGAGGGGTTAGGAAAGGTTTCCTAGAAAAGATGCGACTTTAGTTGGGACTTAAAGGAAGCCAGGGAGGTCAGTAGGACTTTGTTTTGGTCACAAGAAAGGCTGTGGATGACCCAATGCTCCCTGTTCCTATTAACTAAAAAACTGTAACTCCAAATGCACATCTTACGAAGGTGGTGGGTCAGAAGCCCCATTCTAATTCTTCATGGAAAATGAAATCACTAACCAATCAATAAATAAGCATTTATTGAGTGCTTATTGTGTGTCTAGTCCTGTAGGGGATACAGAAAAGGAAAAGACATGGGTTTTGCCCTCAAGAAGTTCAAAGTCTAGCTGGGGAAGTAATATCTCCACACTTGAACCAAAGATCAGAGAGAAAGACTGAATTGAAAGGCAAGCCCTTAGTTTGAGGCCAAGCCTGTCATGGACTTGACCTTGGAATCCTTTCTCTTCTCTTGACCTTAAAAATCATCATCTATAAAAATAGAAGGGTTAGAATAAATGACTCCATCCAGCTCTAACAGGGAGACAATATTGTATAATGAAAAGAGCATGACCTAGTCCTAGAATTATAAGGACCTAGGGTAGAGTATCAGCTCTGACATTTACTAAATACAACTCTGGGAAAATCAACCTCCCTGAGTCTTGGTTTTTTCACCTGTAGAACAGGGAGTGAGAATTCCTGTATTCCCTGTCTTGAGGGGTTGTTACAAGGAAAACATTTTATAAAAACCTTAATCAATCATTCAGTCCACAAGTACTTATTAAGACCTACTATGTGCCAGGCAGTGTGCTAGACCCTAGGAATACAACTACAAAGAATGAAGTAATCCCCACTCAAAGTGAGCTCACATTCATAAGATGCTAAAGAAATGTGAGCTATGATGACAAAGATGATGATGGTGTGCTCAAGATTCCACAGTGAAAAATGGCTCAGTCAAAACTTAACCTACAAGCTCCTTCCATTACATCTTATCCCCTCCCTTCTGAGGTTATCTATGTATGACCTTATCCATCCTTTTCACAATGGCCTTGTGGAGACAATAACCCCCAGAGGAATAACACTTTAAAAAAAAAATTCACCAATATGTATTAAACACCTACTGTGTGCAGAGCCCTGTATTGGGAATTAGAGAACATGCAGAGTTTAGGTAAGACACCAGTCTGACCCACATGGAGCTCATAATCCAGTAGGAGGGTACCATCAAAGATAACTATCATATATAGCATTTTATGCTAACGACACTGAAGTGGTGAAAACGAAATGCTCTGTGAGGTCTGATGAGGAAAGTCATCACTGAGATTGGGGTGGGGGGAGTAGTAACTCCAGTGGTGAGAATTACAAACTAGGCCACAGGGGTCAATGTTCCTCAAATCACACCATTTATCGAGCTAAGCATTTCTTCCATGCACAGCACCAGCCTTGCTAGGGAATAGTAATCTTTGGGGGGGGAGGAAAAGGAGGAAATCATTCCCGTTTCTCTAAAACTTTAAGCTGTCCAAAGCATTTTACCCACAACAGACCTATGAGGCTGGTAGAAAAAGCATGATCCCCATTTTACAGATGAAATTACTGAGGCCAAGTGAATCTGAACGACTTGGTCAAAGGTATCAGATCAAAGGTTTGCTCCCAAGTTTGGCTCCTGTTCTCAAGTTCATTGCTCTTTCCCTACCATATTTTATCAAACTCACTTTACAGGGACACCAATGCCTAGGGAGAGCTAAGTGGCTAACTACTTAGCCAGTTGCAGCAGAGCTGGGATTATACTTTATGGCCTCAGATTTACCCCAGGTTACACAGAGAATGAGCAGAGAATGGAATCCAGGTGGCACGGTGGATAGAAGACTCATCCTCATGAATTCAAATCCAGCCTCAGACACTTACTAGCTCTGTGACCCTGAGCAAGTTACTTCACCATGTTTGCCTCAGTTTCCTCATCTGGAAAATGAGCTGGAGAAGGAAATGGCAAACCACTGCAGAAAACCCCAAACGAGTTCAGGAAGAGTCAGACACGACTGAATGACATACTTACAATGACAATGACCTGGGGTGAAAGCCCCCAGGTCCGTCTTCCCAACTTCTTCTAAGTCTCCTCCATATCAGAGCTCTCTGTCTGACTACATCTGTGACACTGAGGCCAGGTCAGCACATCCTGGAGGAAGCAGAGCTTCCCTGAGTCTGCCTCCCTAAGCCCAGTCTGGGACTGCCCAAAAGCAGAAGTCTGGGCTGTCTCCTTTCTCCCTCCCACCCCCACCCCAGAGACAAGGCCTCCTTCCTGAGAGACATCCTTCCTGAAGGTCAGAGGAAAGGGACAGGTTGTCTCTCTGATGCATGAAGGATGGGAGGACCAGCTTCCTCCCTTAAAAAATCCCTTCCAGTTTCCATCAGGGCCCTTCCCAAGTCACTAAGCGGCGGTTGCCAGGTAAAGACTTCCCTAGAACAGATTGATTTCCGAGGGCAGCTGAGAAAAGTCGTATTAAATGTGCAAATTGCTGTAGCAGCCCCCTTGATGAGCCCACGTGAGGCAGCCTCCTGCTCAGTGAAGATGAAACACATCTATGTGCTCCCTGACAAAGAGAAAGCCACTGGTTCTGAAGATGTCTGGGATGACCAGCCCAGAACTGCGCTCCACGGTCTGAGCATTCTCAGTGCCTCGGCAGTCCTGTCCACTGGTGGCACTCTCTGTTGGCTGCAGCAGAGCTAACTCCCCTTCCTCTTCTAGGGTGTGGAAGCTCACTCCACCCCCAACACCCACCAAAACACCTCCACACCCTCCCACTCCCCCCCCCCAAATACTCTTTTCCTCTTGCTGAAGCATTGCCTTCTCTGGTTCCTCTTCTAAATGACCAACCTTTCCAGGAAGCCCAAGAAGTTCCTGATGCCTCAAGGTGGATCCCCCGCCCCTAGGCAGTTCCTCAGCAAAGCTTCCCTATTTCTATTTGTCACCCTACTTTTCTCCTTACTCCTCTTCCCCCATGCTACTACCCAGCAAAAAAATTGGAAATGGTAGAACAAAAGCAGATACCCTCTCCTGGTCTCCCAACTTATCCCTTAGCCATGTGACACTGAACAAGTCACTTCCCTGGTTTTATAAAATTCTCTAAATCTGTAATTACTAAGTTTCCTTAACTGGCAAATGAAAGGGTTCCACAGCATGTCTTCTGAGGTCCCTTCTAACTCTATGCTATGATCCTATTTGAA